CTGCTTTGCTACCTCTAGACATGCGATAGTTGCCGTCACATTCGAGACCATCACGGAAAACCTGTGCAAGCATTTAAAAGAGAAGAAAAAGTGTCGATTTAAACAAACCTTAAACTCAGCTTCAGTGTTGAAAATTTTACTCTTGACTTGAGTAGGCGCGTTGTGCACTTGGAACATATGCTCACATAACCTTTCTATTGTACCCAAGCGTTCGCAACACTAAAATTATTTCAAAAGCAAATGTGCACAATAGTTTGGCAAAGCGAGCTGCACAGAATCTTATGCTTACCTCCGCACAAGGGAAACGCTTCGGTGTAAACACATCACAACGACCATATTTCTTTATAAGCCGCCCATGATGGTAGTAGATTGCTCGCTTCAGCATCAGTCGGCATGAAGGGCAAAAACGTTCATCTACTGCCTGCAAATTCAAAAAAAAAACATAATATGTAAACATTAGTGAAAAAGGCTCAAATTACGTGATTGTTTTTAACGTAAGGTTCTGCGGGTGAGCGTCTTTTGTACATTTCACTCATATCCTGCAAACAAAAAGCTGATTTCTTCACATACGAAAAAGAAAATCCGAACGCTGGAAAACACCTCGCAAGCTTCGGAGTTCCAACCAAAGCTCTCCTCCCCGGGGTCAGTGAGTTGTAGTTGTAGCCTTGGGCGATTCCATTCAGCATCATTTCCTGGTTAAAATTCATTCGGACCTTCTCATTTACTCCCAAAACTTTTGTACTTAAGATACAGATATGGAGTTAGGGCTTGATAATAAGGTAAACGAGGTTCCACAACCGACAGCTTTCTAACAGTACTAATTGCAAAAAATAATAGGCACTATTCCATTAAAATCTCAAACTCTGAAAATCGCTCAAACTTTGCCCAGAACGGTTAATCTGGTTACGAAATCATATCCTTCCACTAGGTACATAGGTAAAGCGCCATTTGTAGGGTAATGGTAGCGTAAGACACTGACGGCTACTGTAACCCGGTTGGCTGTACAAGGAGTTGCTTTTTGTAGTTTCTAAGAAAAAGAGAACACAAGAATAATTTAGGGCTCTTATACGCATGCTACCAGCATACTTTACAGAGAATGATGAAAAATCAACAACTGCGGCTGTGAATAGAATGGAGCAGTGAGCTTCAGAAAACCATTTCCAAAAAAAAAAACATCAGCACTTCTATAA